TTTTCCCCCCCCCCCCCACCCCAACTTGAACCGACCAACTAATATAGCTCTTATCCCCAATACAGCAAAAGTTGCCCCGGTGTTTTCCTACTTTTAAATCTTCCAGATCTCCTGTAATCACAAGATCACATTACAGCCTGATCCATTATTTCAAACGAAGCTCCCTTCCCCCCCCCCTCCACACCACTCCACCCTCTTTGCGTCATTATTACCAGGTGTATACAATTTGGTGCTCAGAGGAACAAGCTTGATTTAAGCCTTGGGAGGACAGAAAAGAGAGATGCAGATATTTTAAGAAGGAAATTTTTTGCGTTTTCTCCCCCCGTTGTGCCTTCCTCCAAGCACTCGAGCTCGTTCTGAATGGATTAGTGAGTAATACTTGAAAAGTACAATATTGGTATCTTTGAGTCTTTTTTGAGCCTCCTTTCCGTGGAAAATATGTTCAGTTGGATGGGATTTTTGATTGTTCATTCTAATTAAGGCGAGGGTAAAATAAACTCAGGGGATAGTAAGTTGACGAATACACTGGATATTGCTAATTTTAACTATGAAGAATTCGTCGTTGAATGCATTCAGTTCAAATTCAAATTTAAGCTTACCTAACGTTAGACCTTTAACGTCCGAATCATTTTTTTTGAAAAAATGCACCCAACCGCACTCACATGTGTCTCACAGCAGACTGATATCAACGTGTTGAGTTTTGATGATGTAACAGACGAAGGCTATAGACACGTATTGAACATGTTTCCAACGGCAATAGCGCCTTGTTTTATCAATGGAGCTTATTTTGAAAGAGGACCGTATGGTTCTGTGGGGGCGCTAAAGGGTTAATTACTCGAAAACTGCGAGTGTTTATGTTAATTGTTATGGAATTTTGAAATCGGCCTGGTTTTGAACTCGTTTCCTAAATTAAGGGAGGCAATTTTACAAATTCTAAACATTCTATTCTACTACCAGGCAGCACATCAGTAATACTGTGTGAACTTGGCATTCTTCTCGAAATAACGAGAGGGTAGAATTAGTTGATAGCCTTGAAAATTCACGGAAATTTCTACATCCTACCTTTCCTTTTTTCGACCAAATGTATACTACTTAAATTTAGTTATTGCTTCTTCTAAATTTCCCTTTTGGATCAATTGATAAGGTTCCTTCCTCTTGTTATAGTTAGTGGTGATATGGAGTTAAAATGCACAAATTACTTGTACATAAACTTGTTCGGATTCCAGTTCGATTTGGAAGTAGCACACCAATGTGCTTTCTGCTTTAGTTAGTTCTGGAATTTTGATGAAATATGCTCCAGATTTGTAAATGCTAAGATGAACAGAGGAGTGAGGATACTTTCTATTTATTTTCCTTTAGCACAGTTCCCAAATGATCGATTCATTATATCGCTACAGCTTTAATGACTCGCGAAGATAAAGATTAAACATAATTAAATGATGGATATGCAATAGACTTACTTCCACGTGGGCAGCGTATATTTATACGGCAAAAAGGCTATAAACCGGTAGTTGACTTCTTACTTCAAACCTCCATGACCCGACTGACTGTCATATTCGACGAATTTCAATGTACTCTTCTTAAATCTTTCCCTACCTTTGTGTCTGT